CTGCTGTTGGTAGTCATCGGTTATGTGTTTTTTTTTGTTATTTGGTAGAGTTCTTTGTTAATAATTCTGTAGTACCAATCTACAATGTTCACCGAGGGATGTTCTTTGTCAAGACCCTCAGGCGTCACTCGCTCGAAAGTTTATGGCTGAATGAAAAGGAATTGTTACTAAAATGCAGTAGAAAGGATTAACACCTCTGTGGATCATTTAATATTTATCATAATGTTCTCATAATATGAGAATGACTTACAAAGTTCTAATAAAGAAACACAATACAAGAAGATTATTATAATCATCCATCTGAGATTAGAAATGCTTTAGTAAATGACAAATTTTCAATGTTAAGCTATTGAAAAGTATATATATATATATATATATATATATATATATATACACACACACACACACACACACAGAGAGAGAGAGAGCCATCGTATAGACTGACATGCTATGCCATTTAGCTACAGAGGAAGCACCTGGTTAGCAAGGTCGAACTGTAGTTTAAAAGAACTAATTTGACCTTGCTAACCAGATGCTTCTTCTGTAGCTAACTAGCATAGCACGTCAGGCTATCTGATGATTCTGTGTAGGATACAGGTTCAATTACTGTCAGAGGAAATATATTTTCTCTGGTGTATTAGATAATGGGAAAAATGGAGGTTTAAAATTTGAGAATGAAAAATTATTCACCCCCTCTCAAAATTAAGTGAAAAAATTCTATTTCTTGCTTTGACTATATATATATATATATATATATATATATATTGCCATCCACAGATAGACTGTTTCACTGTATCACAGCTCATCAGTGTGGCTAGATGTCTGGTTGCCTCTAGCCAGGATCAAAATCTGGCTGAATTGGCGTCAGTCGGAGATTCTACCCCTAATCCTTTGTCACACAGCAGGGATAAAGTTGAATTTAAGCATATTTATTTTTAGATAAACACACAGTGACTGAGAGTACTTGAATTGTTTTATCAAAGAGTATTAGCAGTAATAATCACTATTTACAAACTCACAATTCCTCCCCGGAGCATATATATATATATATATATATATATATATATATATATATGTGTGTGTGTGTGGGAATAACAATATATATATTTTTATATATCAAGAACTGTTTTGTAGGTAAGATGTACAACAAAAATGGAAATATATATATATATATATATATATATATATATATATTTATTTATTTATTTGTGTATTTAGGCAGCAATCCTTCTTTCATGCACATTTCATTGAATACAACAGACAAGGTGCTTTTATTTAGTTTTTTATACAATTTCTCATGCGATCTAATATTTTTTTTTCTTTTTGGCTGATAAATTATATAAAAACTGTCCGAATGTTCTTTTTATCTGAGCACTTTCAGCTATAGATTTAGCCATTTTCAAGGATTAAATATTTTAACTGTTAAATAAGAAATAGTTTGTTAACTATTAAATAAGAAATAGTTTGTTGCATGTATGTTTTATAAAATGTTTTCATTTTTCAAAACACGGTCAAGATATTGTGTCCATGTTCAAACTTAATATTATTAAAAAATATTTTTAATATTATGAAAAAAAACAACACTTAATAATTGTTATGATGTTGATTTGGGGTTAGTAGAGATAAACGCCAAATAACACGTAACAATAAAAAGGGTTTTAATAGGTTGGTACAGAAATCACCTGAGTAGTCAATAATTGGTCAGCTAAGAACTTCTCTGTCTATCTGTCTTCCCCCATGTCAACTGACATGCCACTATTTAAAGTCTTTGTTCACAGATGCAGACAAGTTCATCTTCAAGAGGGGTTGTAGGTTTCCGACACAACAATAATAGTACACGCCCTTTCACTGTTGAAAAGGTTAAATGTAACTGTCTCTTCTGCTCCAACAACTTCTTCTCTTGCACTACCCAATAGTGGAACTCCCGTCCTATCACTTGCTTCCCTGATAGCTATAATCTTCATTTATCCAAATGTAATGTCAATTGACATATTCTGATGCCTTGATCCTGGTCCCCTGCTTCTCTACATTCTTTCCTCAAACAACCCTCTTCACTCTTGCTCTCACTCTCTGTAACCCCATAGTGAAATGCTAGTGAAATGCTTAAAAAAAAAATAGAAATTCCCATAAAAATTTCATGGTTTTTCTATTTGAGTTTTCTGATTACTCTTAATTCTTAAGTTTATGATTTTATAAGCTTCTACCTAATTCTATAAAAATAAAATATCTGTATAAATTCCCCTATTGTATTGTTAAATATATGAGCTTAACAATTTTCATAAAATATTTCAATAACAATCATAAATATGAATGGTGGTCGTTATTTTAAGAAGTAAGGGGGTACAAATGAAAAGATTTAAAATTGACAGCTTTTTCCATTTCACTGAAACAGACATTAAACACTTCTATCTTTCCTTCTTTCTTTCTTTCTTTCATTTTTTTTCACCAAATTCAAGTAATAACTCTAACTATATCCTTTCCACCTTTACATGCTATCAAA